CGCGGAGGCGTAAAATGGGTAAAACGATATAATTTTGCCCGTACCAGTTCATATTACTACGTTCGATGTAAACAACGCACGTGTGACCATCAATTTGACGTTTTTTTCTGTTTGTTTACTCTGAATTCTTTCAGAAGTACATTTTTTACCGTCTAATCTGATTGACCTGCTCGTGTTTGTTTAAAACAACAAAAACAAGCCACAGAAGTAATCTTTTTTGGCGTTATCGATGCCATCTTGCTTTGTTGGTAAACATTGTGATGTGACGTCACCCTTAGAACTACAGCGGTCTGACCTTTTAAAGGTCAGTCATCTTGGACAGAGATAAAAGACGGATGTCGGATTAGGTCTGTAAAACAGATTGCGTTTACCTCGAGAACTCAAAATGCAAAACACAAAAGACAAATGTCATTTTGCAAAGTTGCTTTGTTGAAGTGTATATGTGAAAAGGTTGTGCACATTAGTGGATTTTTTCCAAAAAACATTTGTAATTTGACATTTGACTTTTACTTTAACGGTATTATGTATTTATCATTATAAGTATAACGACATATGTATTTTGCATCTTAGGTATTAGGTATTTTCTATGATGTATAATAACATTTTCAACATACATTTAGTTTTGGCCCTTAAATCCCGCCATAGTCTTTACTCATTAATCTACAATTTAACTCCTGTTTTATATCACCAACATAAACACATTGTTATCATGTTCATGATAATTTGTAGCAAGCGGATGTACTTCTAATTTATCCAAACTCAACCTTTTGATTTGATAAACTACGCGTATATTATTTTAATAAATATCTCTTATCTATAAATTTACCATGTGACTTGCACACTATGAAGAGCAGATGACATTATATCGATTACACATTTTTGACAACATTTAGCAGACGAATTTTTTCTGTTCACACATAGAATACATACGATAGATTATACTATACTATTCAAAAAAAGTAGGGGATATTTGATTTTGGGGGCATAATACTAAAATATGCAAATGACTACGAAAAAAGTCACTATAGAACCTAACAGAAGAAACATTTCCAGTTACATGTGACGCCCAAACGCACCAATAGCTACCGCATGGAATGCAGGTGATGCTTGGGATCAAAATGGGGGTCCAACCCAAGATTTGCACGACTCTGACTTTGAATGTTACAGTCATTGTGGCATTGAATTCCAGGGTGGAAACATCAGTTTAATTGTTTTAGTGACCAGAATCAAATTTTGATATGCGTCGGCTTACCCAAAATGAAAGGTTACGTGCCCTTGGCATGCTACAGATCGGCACAACACAGGCGGTTGTGGCGCGGACGATGAATGTTTCTCAGTCTGTCATAAGCAGGCTATGGTCCACATACCGTGATACACAATCTGTACAGGACAGACCACGCTCAGGTCGACCAAGGGCGACGACTCAAGCCCAGGATCGATTTATCCGTACCTTGGCCTTGAGAAACCGTGTCATCACAGCAAATCAGATCAGCGCTCGTCTTCAAACAGACACTGGTGTGAGAGTGAGTGGCCAGACGATTCGGAATCGACTGCATAGGGGTCACCTTCGCGCCCGACGTCCTCGCGTGATCCCTTGTTTGAGAGATCATCACATTCAGGCAAGACGTCGTTGGTGTAGGGATCGTCAACACTTGGATAATCGACGCTGGAGCAATGTGATGTTTTCAGATGAGTCAAGGTTCACTGTTGATTTTTTGGACAGACGTAGGAGGGTGTGGCGTCGTCGAAACGAGCGCTTCCAAGACGTTAACGTCATCAGACATGATCGATTTGGGGGTGGTTCTGTTATGGTGTGGGGAGGCATCACTGTTGCTGGAAGAACGGCTTTACATGTTGTTGCAGGGCGTGTTACAGGCCAGTACTACCGGGACAACATCTTGGCAGTCCATGTTGTGCCGTTCGCACGACGTCATGGCCGCCGTTTCATCTTCCAGGATGACAACGCAAGATGTCACAGGGCCAGGATCGTTACAGGTTACCTCCAACAACAGAACATCACCACATTACCTTGGCCAGCTTGGACAGAGGTTACGTCAACGTCAACAACGTCCTGCCAATGTCCAAGAACTTGCTGCTGCGTTGCAACAGGAATGGGACAATCTGGACCAAAATGACCTTAGACGTCTCATTAGGAGTATGCCACGTCGGATCAATGCTTGTTTGGCAAACAGAGGAGGATTTACCCGTTACTGACTTGGTTGTGATGCTGTGGTAACTTTGCTGTTTGACCCCGGGTATCATTTTACCCTTATAATGGTCAGTCTGTGCCTTACTTAGTCTAACGATCATTTGGAATAAATCGATGAATGTGAACTTCATTTCATTTTGTCATTTGTTTCTTCGTCAGTTTCATTAGGTGACTTTAATAACACTTAAAAATCAAATATCCCCTACTTTTTTTGAATAGTATATATAACGTTTATATACGTTTCGAATACATAATTTAATGACACACAATAAAACATCATTATACCTATATTTTAGCCACCTTTTTAATTTGCCACTATTTCGCAAAGGTGCCTTATTTCTCACTTTAAACTCTAATTACTCACGATAATCTTGTGAATTCAATGAGTCTTAATTCCTCCGAGAAGAAAAACTATCAAAATCACCTATTAGCATTCTCGTGATTTATAGGCGCAATACATATAATACACTAGCACTTCTTCTGCCAGAACTTAACCTTATAACCAAAGGTCGTATAACTTCTTTTATTTTATGATCAGTAGTGGAATACCGCGTTTTATCAGTGAAATAAAAGTGTTATTCCACTGGCTAGCAGTAGTGCATGTTGTTTTTACCTAAAATGATTGTAAAACCATAAAATAAATAGAACATTTGTCGTTTTGTCGTGAATAATATATTTTATTTCATCTCTAAGCAAGAAAACGTTTATATTTTCACTCATGCTACGCATTCGTTAAAATATAAGTTTTCTTGCTTCTCGATGAAATAAAATATGTTATTCACTCTAGAACGACAAATATCCTTTATTTATTTGTCATTACTCTGGAAACACGTATCCCTACCAAAACCCTAAACGCTATTCACACAAGGGCTCTACACATGCTGGCAAATCTTGCCATAATTTAATCTTTTACTCAATGATTAAAAAAACGTATTTTAGCCTTTACTTGGCTCACATAATTTAGGACTAATACTCAAAGTCACAAATTTTAGCGTTACCTACTCACATACATGGACAAAACATGTAAACATAAATAACGAAGCCAGCGGAAGAGCCATCCATGAAACCTATGTGTTAATCACACCAAAACACAATTCCATATGGATTTGTCCTTTCGGTAAGATCCGGAGACACCATTAATTCTTTTATTTTTTTTTCCAATGCCTTATTATTCCTTAAATTTATTACCCTACTCGCTATTGTCCTATTTTAAATAAAACTCCAATTTACAATTTCTACTCATATTGGATAATTCTTAACGTTCCTGTTAATCTTAATAATGATTAGCTTTTATTTCCTACATTTTAATACCTATCGTCTTATTTAATTTTAATTTTAAATCGACTACAAAGCATTTATTTTGGTCTGTTAAAGCAAGTGACACTTTCAGTTTTTCAGGAAAAAAATGTATTTACCCATTTCCACCAATTTTCCATTGCTCACTTTGTTCATCTCAGATTTATCCTTGTCTGGTGCCAAATCAACATATGTACCAATATGAGGCTGCTTCATTCCTTTAAAGGTCGAATCCTGGCACGGCAATCAGGAACCAACTCACACTGCAGGAAGTAGGTATAGTTTCGTTGTTAAGGCAAACATCAGTTTCGGACATGCGCAAGTGCCCAGGAGAAAACACAGACCAGGAGTCAACTCAAACTATCACACCGGGGCTACTTATGAAGTCCCTCTACAACCAGCGAGATTTGCCTTGGGTGGCGACTGTCAAATTATCGTTTAGACTTGAAACAGGTAAAATTTGATATTATTGCGGACGCCTTGTTACACCAAGTGAGACTTAGTACTTATAGAAATACCCTTGGTCACTTTTACTTTACAAGTAAAGACTGATCATTCAATCAATTGGATTCTTTTGTGTGATCGTGAGTTAACCTCCAAGCTTTACAAGATACAGGTAAGCTCATGTCCCGCAAACATAAGGTCGATAATTGACTGGGTTGTCACGCTCTAATAATAAATTTGAACGTGAGAATAGCATAATAGTGTGACCACGTTATTTCTGGTCTTATAAAATTAAGACTGAGTCCAAGTAACTTCTATGTGATTTATTAAACATAGATAAATCAACAAATATTTACAAGAAAGAGAGAGATCTGATCCGTTCTAAACCATAGCTCACTCTGTTTTTGAAATACAGTTCTACAAAATATATAACAGATAATCATAACACATTGACAATTAAACTATAAAATATAGCCTCTTAGTTGAAATCTAAAACAATAGTTCGTTGTGTAGAGAGATTGGTCAATGACCAATTCTTAATCTTTCCATTGTTTAAACTCCAATGCTTCGTCTAAATTATATCTGACGTAATATAATAGCCAGTGGCTGGTTTAATAAGGTTCTATAGCCCAGGGCCCAGTTGACATTATATTGTAAAGGGTTTTACTCTATCTGTTTTTATAAGGACAATATGTCACTCATGCCAGTGTTGGTTTAATTCAACACGTATCTCACAGGAGAAATAATTAGGTAAATAAAATAGATTTAAAATACATTAATGGTGTCAAAGATATGTTTACCAAAATGGGGAATATAATATTGAATTTTAATATATAGAACTCATATCACTTATGTCGGTCATAATAGCCAGTCGTGCGTCCAGCATTCATCCTTTAAAAACCCGCGGCTATAAAGACACCGTCGTGTCATTTTAGAATGAACAATGTAATGTACAAGGGATCTGTTAATGGCCTTCTGTATTCCATGCGATATTTATTCTATTTTTAAATTTCAGGTGAAGAAGCAATTGTTTAGTGTGGTAATCATGGACTGGTTTTGTTTTACGACTCATAGATATTCCATGAAACATATTCTAGTGTTTCTGATCGTGTTCTGTGTAGCTTATATCTTATTAATAAATATATATCTGAAAGATACATCAAAAATCAAATCCAGCTATATAAATATATTTCCGGAGAGATATTATAGTAAACGGGAGATTAAGAGAATTCTATTCTGGACCCGAAATTTTAAATCGATCCACTGGCAAACGTATGATTATTATTCTACTTCGGATGCATTTAAAGGTTGTCCTGTGTCCAAATGTATTGTCACTGCAGATAAGACTCTAGTCAACGATAGCGATGCTTTGCTTTTCCATTCACAAGATCTGACAAATATTATTCTCCCATCACATAGATCACCCGAACAGATTTATATCCTGGCGGGCGTCGAGCCACCTACAAATTATAATATTATGAATCTAGGGCAGTATTCTAATGTTTTCAATTGGACAATGGGTTACAGATTTGACATGGATGCATTCATGGCGTATGGCAGTTTTGAAAAATCATCTGTCAATATGGCAGTTAAAAATGTTGACTTTTCCAAAAATAAAACTCACAAAGTAGCCTGGGCTGTCGGAAATTGCTATCCTTATTTCCCTCGCCAATTAATCGTACAAAAACTGTCAAAATACATAGATGTAGATATATTTGGACATTGTGGAAAAACAAAACCTAAATGTAGTAGACTTTGTCCTGAGATTTTAGGAAAATACAAGTTTTATCTTTCCTTCGAGAATTCCATGTGCAAAGACTATGTAACTGAAAAATTTTGGAATGCTTTGGTTAGAAAGCAAATACCTATCGTCCTAGGAGGGGCTAATTACACAAAAATAGCTCCACCAAAAAGTTTTATAAATGTTATGGATTTCCCAAATATTGAAAAATTAGCCGAACATTTACATTACTTGGATAAAAATCATACAGCCTACAACGAGTATTTTAAATGGAGATCTCATTTTACAGTGTCGGGTAAATTTACACCTTGGAGATGTGAATTATGCAAAGTTTTACATGACACTAGTCGACCTGCTCAAGTATATACAGATATTGTTGGATGGCTGGGGGAAGATAACTGTCCACTTAGGAGTGTAAGTATTCGACTAAACGTATCTCAACGCTGGCTCACTCACTCGAGGTCCCTGATAAAATCTCGGCGTTGGCCGAGTAAGTTACTTGGATTATTTTAGACGTGGTTTTCTCTTGTCAGTGACGCGGATCAGAGGGCCTGACAGGTAATAGTGTCTAGTCGTTCGGAGGGGCAAAATCCCGGGGTCACGTAAACACATTGGGCTGCACGAAAAAGAACCCCTGGCACTTGAAATTCTACGAAGAGAAGACGGAAACGTCGCTTTTCGGACAAACTTCCCCTTATAGCACACTGCATGGCCTATGCATGCTCCTCTTCATTAGCCCGGTCGGAGCAGAAAAAACAGGACGTTAAACAACAAAATTATCTTATCTGAGAATAAATATAGACTGGTTTCAATAATCGATAATAAAATTAAGATCATTTCCAAATGGTAACATTTTTCTTTCGATTTAACATCAGACAATGTCAGTACTTGCATTTTCACAGAATTGGCGAGTCTGTGTACATGATGAATATAAAATTATACAATATTATTAACTATTTTACCTTTTAGTTGTGTCTTTTATATATTTCAGTTTAGCAATCATATGATGAGACACGTCAATGGATTCTTGATCAACAAGGGTATAAAATGGTTTTAACGCCAACAGACAAAGTATTATATCTGTTTTACAGAAAATACAAATAAATAATGTAATTTTTTTTCCAACAATCTATTTATATTAGTGTTTACGGTTATTTAACCGAATTTCTTGAGTGGTTCCCTCTTGTCAGTGGTGCTTTCGAGGCCATTTGTAATGAAGCGACTCGATGAACGAGGCTAAACATACCCCACAGGAGAATACCGGTGTGGACTAGAATAACCAGACGCCAAAGACTGATATTAAAAGTTAAACATTGAGTTTTTGTTCAGTGCTATTACCATCAATAATTTGGTTCAATTTCAAATCCATTAATACGCATACAATTTATACCAAAGGTTTTACAACATTTCCCAATTTCATTACACCGAGAAAAGATAGCATTTTTGGTGCCAGTTTGCTCTGAAATTGCTTAAACTCTATTTTCCATGATCAACACATGGACCGGGGTCTTTCAAGGAACAGTGTCAGTCTAACCATTAGGATAGTGCGAAAAATACAGGTTATGTGTAAACGTAGACATGCTCGTAGTAGAACCCTTGACAGTTGGAATTCGATGAAGAATAGCCGGAAATACCGCTGTCCTGGTCAAATTACCTGCATAGCACACTGCATGGTACTGTTCGACATGACCTTCCTCGTATAGGGGGATTATACGGTGGCTAAGTAGGTAAGGAGTTGACTCGCTAGCCTGGAGGTCGTGTTCGATCCCTGCATTGGCCGAGAAAGTTCATCAAGATTTTCCCGCGTGGTTCTCCCTTGTCAGTGAGGCAGGGCGGAGGGCCTGACAAGGACAGCTGTCTAGTCGTTCGGATGGGACGAAAAACCGAGGTCCCGTGTACACATTGGCGTGCACGTAAAAGATGGAATTCGATATAAGAGTAGGCCGCTGTCCGGACAAAATTTCTCTCATAGCACACTGTGCACACGGAGCAAAAAAGTAGGACGTTAAATCCAATTTCATTTCATTTCCTTCCTCGTAGCACACTGTATAGCTAGGGATTGAACTGTAAACAATTTTAACAGCAAAATGACTTACAACGCCACCCCTTCCCCCTAATTGCATGGTTCCTTTTCCAACTGCGGCAGCTACTAAACCCCACTGGGACAAAGTTGTAACATCTTGCCCGTATTGCTGCGACCGCCCCACCACGATACTAGTATGTCTATAAAGGATAGCCCTGCGAAAAGTGTTGATGAGAAATGGTGTTATTGTGTTCAGTAAACGTACATTAACTCTTCATTTGCATCAGAACTGCGGTTTCTATAAATAAAGGGGAAAAATTCACACCAAACCAATCCATAGGCCGCAAACGGGAATACTGCAAAATCATATTCTTGTTAACAGGAACAACTTTCTGCCGTGGAAGCAGATATTACACCACCAGCTACTACCACTACTACCTTCCTAATGGTAAAGGGGCTAAGTGGGGGGGGGGGGGGGCAATGTCGCGTTTTGCTACAAACCGACGGTATAGCACGATTCACACAGCCAAAGTTTCTCGGAGCAACCCACTACCACGCACTCAGACCGACACAAATATCGGGTTTTGGCATTTCATTGAAATCTTATTACTAGCGCAAAATCGATAGCCACCACTCCCCTGCCCCTGTCTGTTGGCATTTCGAATCCACTAAATTTATTTAAAAATTTAGGTGGTATTTTAACATAAAGCCTGGTGTGAGATTTATTTTTAAACAACATATAGAAAACCCAAGGAAGCAGTTTTTACACGGGTTTCATCAAATGACAAGTAAAATGGTTTGAAAGATTGGAGACTTTTGGCAAGCGGAATTTTTCCCATCCGTATCACGTATCCGTATCGTATACGTGACACGTTGCGTCAATGTAGTTTTAGAGTTTTGGCAGATTTTCGCGTCGCGTACCTATACGTCGCTGAACAGGGCTTAGTTCTATTACAGCATGATGACAGAGTGTCTAGCCTACAATTTCCAAAAGAGAGCGAAGTCGCTCGACCGTCGCTGAAGTATTAAAAAAAATTTGGGTTTCACTAATGTATCATTTCAGAAAGTTTATACCCTTTACCATAGAATAAAATCATTTACAGATTTGCAAGCCCCCCCCCCCCCTAAATTTAGATCAACCAGCATGTAGACAGACAGGAAAAGTATGAAAATTCCGAGAAAAAAACATCAAAAATGATGATTAAATTCCAGTCTTTATTGTGGTTAAAATCACATCAAACATACACCTTCGTGTTCTAGGATATAGATTCATAAAATGATATATAACATTTCAGCGTCTCAAAGTAGCAAAAAAGACGACAATGTTATACGGAACTTTTCCGTATGAAAGCTGTTCGATACGTGCTACCGTATCCGTGTGCCGTATCACGTATGAGAAATACACATACATTGATGACGTCACATGCACAATCCATACGGATACGCGATGCGGACAAGGAATTAACGCTTGCCAAAAGTCTCTATTATTACACGTTAGGAAAATTGATGGCCACTAGGATTATATCATGGACTGTATATACGTAGTTATATTATGTATAGAATGAATAAAAACAAGGCAATGTACGGTATTTCAATTTTTCTCGTGTTATCTTATCTAATGACATTCAATTACTTTATTGAATTATCAGATATCCTCTTACAGTCTCATATAACAACTTTTGGTCTTCGAAGGAATTATCAGTGAGCAGAAATTCACCCGTGTATCTGTTATCACTCGTCACTTCAGTCAGTTATATAGAGGGATAACTCGTGTTTTTCTTTTGTGTTCGTCACTTCCGATTGTCGAAGCCTTTATTACGCATCTATCGTAGCAATGATCTATGTGTTAAAATTATATTTGGAATGTGTTTAACCAGTTCTATCACATATGTGATAATGACTGACATCAATAGTGTCCTTTAAGAGTGTAACAAAGTCCATAAATACTAATAGACAAATCAATGCCGATCCATTACGAAGACAAAAACGTTAAACCACATTTCTTTTCATTTCGTTAAGTTACATAGATTATTTTTTTTAAAGATTTGTGGTGTTGAAGATCGCACAATTGTTAGATTCACATGTCGAGATATTCAATAATTTTTAACATTTTCGTCTAGAAAAGCATTTGGTTTGACAGTTTTGATACATGGACACCGGATGCATCTGATAATGCCATGTTTAATTTCGAGGTCTGGCATTTTTTTTACTATTAATGTATTACTAGCATTTGTGTTGTAATAGTTTAATATCAATTTCAATATCTGCAAAGATTCAGACTCAAAAATGATCGAAATGTAAGCGAATTTACCGTTTATATACGGGAGACGCTCGCGGGAAAACATCGCTATGGCGTCAGGCGACCAGAGATTTTATATCAATCCGAATTGCTATGGCTCCCTTTATTGGTGAATCCGCACCTTAGTCAATTTGAATTTCTACTTTTTATCGAAATAAACAAACTAAAGAAACTCGACACCCCCTCCTAAGTCCTGATATAGTAATGCTGTAAAATTGAATATTGGTAGATAAATAGTGTAGAAACCTATTTGGCCGTAAGAATCTTAGGGGAAATCCTATCACGGGGAGTCATAACGGTGTGAGCCGACTCCTACAACTATGCATGTGCTAAACGGTAGTCAGACACGAGCAAAGCCAATGACGTAGATATATATGACCACAGGTTTTATAAAGGGACATGCTTGTTATGTACCATGCAACATCCAGGGTCTGAAAAACAAATATGTCTCAGATGGGGTTATTGGATAGAAAATATATTTTAAATTCTAAATTTCTCAGAGGAATTTATTTTAGCATGCATGTAATAAATATATAAAATGTGTACTGAAGGAAATATTCCTTTAAAAAATATGAATGGTATTTTTTCATGGCACTATAAAAACAAATAATTAGTTCCTTATCTATTATAAAGCTTGTGTGATTTTAAATTCTGTTACAACAAATACTTTAAATTATCACCATAAGACTCAGTTATTCTAAAAAGGTACACGCAATGTTTATATGTAAAGTCAAACCTTTATATGAATCAATCATTTGTTGAGCCTTTTCTGATAATTTCTTTTCATCATGAAGCTGGTTAACAACACTACCAATTACCATTTTTGCACGTTTTTCTCTGCGTTTGGTTAAGGCAAGTTGGTGGGCTGTGTTTTCCAGTCTATTGGTGGCATCGTCTAATTTTTCTTTCATGGTATTTAAATCATGATGGTAATTGTGTTCAATGGATGGTAAATATGATGGAGATACTATAACTCTTGTGGGCTCTACATCTACTCTGGCCCTTTTGCTTGAGGAGGTTTGTCTTGAAATAATCTATAAATAAAAGAAAAGGGTAAACGAGACTACACTCGGGTGGACGAAGTACTTTTTCAATCTAAATTGCATAATAACCATCTGAAATGAAATGAAATGGGGTTTAACGTCTTACTGTTCTGCTCCTATGCTGGGCTAATGAAGACGGGCATACGCCATACTGCCTATGAGAGAAATTTTGCCCGGGCAGCGGCACTATCGCCTGCTCTTATATCGAATTCCAACTGCCAAGGGATCTTTTACGTGCATTCCAATGTATACACAGGACCTCGGGTTTTCGTCTCATCCGAAGGACTAGACAGCTGCCCTTGTCAGGCCAGAAATTTCATATGACGTCATGAAAATATGACGTCAAGTGTACGAAGACGCCATCTTGGGTCCCAAGTATTTGTACCTACTCACTTTCTATTTTATGTCCTATCATACTGTTGTGTCGAAGTTGGCTGACCCCGACAGGGATGTAGATGGATATCTCATAGAATTCCGCGAAAAAGAGATAAAATATACATTTTTTAAACGAAAAGTATAGCCGAACAAACTATTATTATTATTATTACTATTATACAACAAAAAGCGCACATTATTGTTATAATAATATAGTCCATTTCCTAAGAAAATGAAATGAAAGATATATCAGATAAAAGCGCTATTAGATATATTTAACTTGCATACGCTTTTAAAAATCAGATTTTTATGCAGACGGGTAAAGTGAAAAATTAAAATTTAAATAGTAATTTTGGAGATAAAACCTTTTTGCCTTCTAGCCGGCAAAATAAATGCCTGAAATTCCGTGATTTTTTGGCCTGGAGCCATTCCGGATTCGATCATCGATCATTAATTGTATCATCAATTTTTCGAAAATTGAAATTTCTTTAAATTGACTAGATAAAACATTTAAAATC